ATGCCCCCCCCCCCTCTCCCCCGCGGTACGTCAACTTCCCCCGTGGGGGTTGGTTTCAGAAAAATAAACGATACCCTCCCCGGGGGGAAAACTCCGTTGTTGACGTTATTGTTGAGGTTCAGCACCCAAAAGTCGAGAGCAAAGTGAAAAAAAATATATTATGAACATGAGGATCTACAGTGGAACTATGGGCAGCATATGGACTACGGTCGTAATGAGATTGATCAACTATGAGATAATATGCTCGAAACTATTGTGGCCGTCCACCACCGTGGCAAGAGACAAATATGTTTGCGAGCCAACGACCATGTACCCCGCCCCCACCTTCCGCCCTTCGGTTCAGTGAGGACCTTAAAGCAACCCTTGAGGCGTTGGCTACAATCGATGTTGTTTCAGTAGCGTTCGAGACGGGGGACACTGTGTGTCAAGACGATGGGTCCGAGGTTGCCTCCGTCACGTTTATCACTCAGCATGGAGACGTGCCCCTCCTCATAGTGGACGCGTCGCTTTTGGTTGACGACAGCAACGGCGGGGTGAGTACATGCTACGGTGACCCGATGTTCGTCTGAAATTACTTTTGCGCGTACAGAGAAGAGTCACATACAACACGGCAGGATCGCCCACCCCCCACCTTCGTCGAGTTTGTTTCAGCTTCGCTCACGTTCGTGCTCACGAATGCCTCCAGTTCTATGAACAGAGTATTCTCCCATCGACCTGCTGTCGGCCGGCGAATATCTGAACCGGAAGGTTAGCTGCCTAGTCAATTCACGGACATATATTGTTGCCCCTGCCTCAGGCGCCTGGGAGCGGGAACGTTACCGTTGTAGAGGATGTTCAAGGAACGACGGAGGAAGAGACCTGTTCAAACCACGGGGTGAGACAAGCGTTCGACAGTGGGTATTTTGGAGCGTTGCAGAATTTGTATGCATAGGAGTCGACGAGGTGGTCGAACGTGTCCACGCATATATCTCGCAGATGTTCTGCCCCGCAAGACGACGTGCGGTGACCACTGTTCGCGATGCATTATTGAGCGTGGTGAAAGGCACTAAGTGACATGAGGAACCTGATTCGCATCAATCCTCACCTTGTTTGTGGGCAAAAATCACATGACTGCCTTCGTGATCTTCGTGTTGTCTGGAGTTTTTCAACACATGAGTGCAACAACATTAATGCAATGAGACTCCACTCCTGAAATATCAGGCATGAATTGCGACGGACAGAGCATAGAAATTTTGTCCCCCAAAGACGAAGCTGTTGCTTTTCACAGTTTGGCATTATGGGTAAGGGTTGGTGCCTACCCCTTCTCCATAGTTGGTATCATGGGAGTATCGATATACCTCTGCGCAAGATTGGATGAGCCACACCCATTTGTGACACAAAAGCACCGCATTCATCAGCCAGCTTGATCTTTCCCAACATCCCTCGCGCCCAGCTATGTGACAGGCACACGGGAGAATGTTCTTGCTTTCCAGGATGGTCGAGCAGTAACGGGGCGGGAGAAATTGGGGACAGGTCGGACTGCGGCTATCGGGTGCCTGTGACGACGCAGTGAGTGTGCGTTTATGCTTGCAATGACGCATCTGTCAAGGCGTAGAGAGGGCCTAGATAGGTTATCTGGCGTATCGGGTGAGGGAATCGTCGACTGTGTGTCCCGACCGTGCTCTCTCTCCGACCGTGTTCTCCTCTCCGACCGTGTGTCCAGTCTAAGAGGCTCACAATCACGGGGGGAGTCAACCGTGGCGAAATCGGTATTGCCTCAGGGAGAGTCGACTAACAAGTACAGGTGAGCAAACCGGTGCACTACGGACCATGTTGGGTTCTCATGAAAAACAGATGCGATACGTGATGAAATAATGAAGTAATCTATGCGGTTCACATGATGCGTCGTATGTCCGTTTGCAATCAACTTGGTTTCATGTGTCTTGGAATCGGTATGGCATCTTCGCTATTGGCACCCACGCCCGTCTCGGTGACCGGATGCAATATGACGTGAAATACCGTGTTTTTGCTCCCACTAGCATTCCTTTTCCACCTCAAGCCGTAGCGGACGATCATCGTTGGAAGAAGATGTTACGTTTTCGACATAACCGGAGATGTCAACCACGATTCCGAACACGTCCTATACCCCCTTCCTCTGAAACTCGCCACTGTCATGGACAGCGACTTGTCGGTGATTGCGGCGCAGTCCAAGTTGGAGGCGTTAGCACGGCAGAAGGAGATGCTGGTCGCAGCTCAGCAACATTAAACTAAGAGTTTGATGCGTTCGAGCGTTTTACCATTGCTTTTTGTCCCGCCACACTGAGTGCTGCATAGGGTATGTAGTGTGGAGGCACGTGTCTCGATTCCTGCTAAGATCACCATTGCCATTGACATACGGTGGTGCACGCGCTTTTCAAGACACGCTTGTTTCCCGTTCATTTGTTGGTACTGTAGACGAATTTTCAAAACTGTAAACATTGTGAGACGAAGTTTTCAAAATGAACGGGGGAGCGCAAAACGATCGGGTATTGGGCTTCGTACCAAGCAGCTCCGCACAAACGATCGGCAGGAGGCCACGCTTTCAAGTCCTGTCGTCCTAGTCTCTTGCCGTTGTAGAGTGTCATCCAACCTGTGTAACTCTATTTAAATCTCGATTCGTTTCTGACAAGTTTTGTGAGGCACAGGGCAGACAGCGGCTGCAACATGGGGTCATATGATGACAAAATAAGCCCACTCACTCGCACGTTGATGAAATCCACCTGTTCAAAGACAGCACATTGTGGAGGTATGTGAGAAGCTCCATCATGTACATGCCTGCGTTGATAATGAGGCTTAACTACACGGGAAGTGAGCAAGAATGTCAGGAATCTGTTGCTAGTCTTTGACCGTGGCGATAACGACACTCTGTTTCACCGCGCGCGTGCTTAGCTCGCCTTACCAAAGTAATTCCCCCAGAATAATACACAACCTGTGCCCCGCAGGCCTACCCCCTATATCTATGCGTATAATTTTCGGCGCCTTCGACACGTTTTTTCTGGCGGCAGCGACGAATCTATATCCATTCATGCTTCGTTTCTAGGGGCTGGCAGTGGGCCCGCGGACACAATCAATGCTGTGCATGCCCGAGGATGACCGAACATCCTTTTCACATGTTATCGGCCTAAAGTTGCTGCGACCGGCCCTACGTCGCGGGGAGGCATTCCGAACCACGAAACCGTTAGCAGGATTTATTAGACATCTACAACATAGCAAGTTTTAATTCCTGCGTAACACACACCCTCACATACCCTAACCCGAAGAAACACTACATTTTGCACAAGCATACGAGAGAGAGAGAGAGAGAGAGAGAGAGAGAGAGAGAGAGAGAGAGAGAGAGAAACAGGGAGAGAGCTAAAGCAGCCGGTTGCAGCAGTGGGATCTACTGCAAAGAAGCCACTCCTACAGGCACACACTCAGTACGCGCACACGAAGATACCCCATGGAAAAAAAATAGCATCATGGGAGTTCGGCAGTTTGTCAAGACTGAAGTGTTATCAACACCGGTACTCATGACTGTTGAGAGACAATAAACCGTTGTAAGATTGACCATCCATGTCCTCTTACGTCGCCCCCAGGGGGCAAGTTTTCAAACTCCCGATCTGGAGCCTTGCAGTATATGTAGGATTTCGGTGTGGTATCGTCTCGAGGGCTATTATAGTAAGCGTATGTTGCCGAAAGAGATTTGCGTAAATATTTGTGTGGCGTTCGAAGAAGCGCTTCAGAGGTCAAGCGAGGTATTTACGAAACGAAAGACAAGTGATCAGGTGGGGGTGACCACCACAGGGCGGCCTATCTTCCCTACACTCGGGAAACCCGTTCTTGGGTTCGTTTACCGTTCGTTGCCGATAGACCCACATGCATACTTGGATCAATGTTTTCTTGCTGATGTGCCGTCACAAGGATAGTTTACTCATGACTGGCATTGCCTATGAAAAGGATACACCGTAGCTAGCTGTTGTTGTGTTCGTTTATGATTTTTTTTTCTGTCCTCTACTGACTGTCCTTCCCAGGATACATTCTGCCCCACCCTGTAAGGCAAAGATATAGTTTGTTATTTTCGTTCGAGTAGCGTCATCATTATCGGTTTCAACATCACCAGATATATAGTCTACAGTAGAGAGAAAGGGATAGAAACCGGTGCTTGAAACAGATGAGCCTCGTGCCCGAATTTTCTCTCTCTCTCTGTCCTCTCTCTCTCTCTCTCTCTCTCCCTCTCTCTCTCTCTCTCTCTGCTCACAAGTCAGCTATATCCCGTCGGGGGAGTTCCAACTACTGATGCTGCTGGCAGAGGTCTGGAACGACCAAGTCCCCAAATGTGCTCAACCATTCAACTGCATCCCATGCAAGTCTCGTGGACACTATTCGATATACTCGTAGCATAGCATGCGGGTGGTATATTGCGTATACGTATGCGGGTATTGCAATTGCAGTGACACGAACTACGGAGGAACAAGAAGTTTCTTTATGTTTTCCTTGGGAGTGTGGTAGATTGGTGGAGATCCATGAAGATTCGTTTTTGGTGTTTGAGCGTTATGCGTGACTTGATGCCGTGATGGAATGACGAGCTCAAGCACGCCCCCGATGATTACAACACGTTTTTCAACACGTCTGCACGACTTTACCTACCCCTACGGCCCGTCATGGCCGAGCTGCTCTACACTCCCATCACACACAACTGAGTCACCCGAATTATCGATCACGCTAGCATATGACACGTCGTCTACGAGATTCGCGGTCGAGCTTGGTTTAGGAGTATCGCTTTGCGGCGATCGAGAGCAGGGTCAAGATGGCTACCAGGCGCGAAGATGGAGCGCGCCAAGCAGCGGAGGCCCGCTAAGCAGCGGAGGCCCGCCGAGCAGCGGAGGACGCCAGGATCGAAGAAAAAGATAGCTCCCGCAGCGTCGACAAGAGCGCGCGGTTTGAAGCAGACGAAGTCAACAGGAGTCCGGACGTCAGCTGCGAGGTGAAAGCAGGAGAGGGTTAGATAAAAGTCATGCGAGAGAGCGAAGAGTACGAGGTAGGCCAGCAGCAGGGAGCGCGCCTAGAACCATCGACCACGCCCGCGGACGACATCCCCCTGACCATCGCGCGAGCCCCCGAGGGGCGGCTCAGCGCATTACAGCAGCACCACTTCTGCTACTAGGGTCCCAGACCCGCTCAGGCACGTGATGAAATGATCATGTCCTCTGTCCGAAGACGAATATGGCCTTGTTTTGTGTTCCGAAAGTTTTTTTTGTCTTGTCTTGTGTCTGAATCGTTTCCTGTGTTGGGAATTCTGCGAAATGTGTGATGTTGGGAGGAAAGAGAGAGTACGGTTGTCCCGAACGAGATAACTGAACGTGTGAGGGGTTATCAAGCCACCAACAGCACGTATGAGGGGATGTTATGCTTCCAAGAGTTTAGTTGCCAATCGTGCAACGAAAAGAGTATGAGGGGCTTTTATCACACCAAAAGCAGTACGGTAGTAAAAAAAAAAAAAAAATGATGCGTAACTTTGTTTGTGGGACTACCACGTCACCACCGACACAACAGCAAAGCGTGGACATATTACGCATTTGAAGGACAGTCAGAATTCTTGACGCAAGCACGTAGGATTTCATGGCAAGTTTGTAGGAGATGTTGGGTAGAATTTCGCTGGAGAGAACAGCAATATGCATGCGTGCCAGGACCTCGGCAAAAAGCGAGACTTGACCTAAGACTGACGTTTTCCGACTTAATAGATCGCAGAGAAAAATAGTCAGAGGCATCACTCAGCCAAGAAGCGCGGTTGACCCAGAAACTAAATTCCCGACTAGATCGGAGAGGACAGCAGTAAGAGCCAGTACTCAGCATGACGCGGAGCAAGATCCACCAAATGCATTCCTCCGAAGACATCACTCAACACCATTTCAGTGGCAGAACACGAACTTTGAAGTTACACGGCGTGAGCAAAAGAGAAATTTTGGATGTCCAACTGTATTTTATTTTGTTTTTTTGGTACAGCAGTCACCCCTGTGCAGAACCGGGGGGAGTGTTGTGGAATGTGATTCTCCTCAGGAGTGCTGTTTTATAAGGAACTGATTGTGCCACCATCTTCCCTTCCTTCCGAACGCGCGACCTGCCCTCCACCGCTGCCGTGTCAATCCTTCTTGAGCGACAATTAATTGTGGTTTCCCCCAACAAAGGCGGACGATTTACTGATGATGCTCCAGCCGCGGCCAGCCGAACGAAGAGCACAGAAGGCGCCGCGGCGGAGGCGAGCGAAAATCCGCGGGGGAGAAACAATGGCAGGGGCAGTGGTCCCATGCGCTGGGGTTTATGGCTGGAAAAGTAGGCGCATTGATGTTCATTTTGAGTTCGATTTAGTTTGAGCTTTGGCGTTTGTTTTGTTTGATTTAAGCTTGGGTTTGGTTTTTCAGATCTGATTGTAGTGTGGATGAAAGGATCAGAAGTAAGTACTGTTTTGGTTTTCGGCACCGCTCGTATTGTTTTTCGGCTTGACCCCGACCCCTTCACAAAGCAGGGGGGCGGATAACGGAGCAGGGGGGCACGTTATTAATGATATATTTTGAGTATTTCAGGGAGATAGTACTTCTTCGCGTTTTACCTGCGGACGAAGGTTTGTTTGGTGGATGAATGGAATAATTTGTCTTAGGATTGCACACATCTTGGTAATGGCAGGATATCTAGCTAGGCGGATTTAGAGACGCACCGAGATATTGTGACGAATTGGCGGTGAAAGGAAAGGCGTTTTTGAACGCCGTTCGTCATATTTTTCTGGATGAAAAGAGTTTGAGGAGAATTTTCAGAAGAGAGCGAGAGTGATTGGCGTGTGTTGGTATGCTATTTGGATACTTTTGTCGGGTATGAAGTATTTTCGTTTTCTTGGTTTTGATTGTGTTTTGGGATGAACTGGTGTGAGAAGGATGACTGATATTTTCCCGGAGCATGACGATGCATACGAGTATGGGGGCTATTCGATATACTCGTAGCATAGCATGCGGGTGGTATATTGCGTGTACGTATGCGGGTATTGCAGTGACGAACTACGGAGGAACAAGAAGTTTCTTTATGTTTTCCTTGGGAGTGTGGTAGATTGGTGGAGATCCATGAAGATTCGTTTTGGGTGTTTGAGCGTTATGCGTGACTTGATGCCGTGATGGAATGACGAGCTCAAGCACGCCCCCGATGATAACAACACGTTTTTCAACACGTCTGCACGACTTTACCTACCCCTACGGCCCGTCATGGCCGAGCTGCTCTACACTCCCATCACACACAACTGAGCCACCCGAGTTATCGATCAGACACTACTAAGGAATCGACCAAAGGAATAATGGACTTCGTACCATTTCCGTTCCACCACCTTCGAAATGACAAGGATGGATGGGTGGGATGGAAAGTATACTACTTTTGTGGCCACATATTTGGCTAGCGCCTTCATTCTTTGGCGTGCTCACGTACTGATCCTCTCTCGCGCTAACAATCGTAACGACTCACGACTACGGCGTACGTGTGCACCTTTGGAAGATGACAAGATGACATACACCGGTGTGCTCTCTCCACTCGTATTCAGAGGGTGGGGGCACGCGAAATTATGTGTTACGTAACCCCGGTTTTCCAATAATGATGCATTTCGAACACTTTCGGTTACAATAAACGTCAGCATATTATTTCGTCTCCGACGCTACTTATTGCTCTGGTGTTTTTGTTCGAGTTGCTTCATCATTATCGGCCTTCTACTTCACCAGGGATAGCGAGGGAAGGGCCTAGGAACCGGCGCTAGAAACTTACAAGCCTCGCGCCTGATCCCTCACACTCTCTTTCTTTCTCTCTCTCTGCTCACAAGTCAGCTGTGTCTAGCGGGGGAAATTCCAAATCCTGCTACTGCGCACACGGTTCTGGAATGACGAAGCCCCCCAACGGTACTTGACCATTCAACTACACCCAAGCCGGGTCCACGTGCAGTCAACTCTTCGTTCGAATTTTGTGGTCACAAGCTAGCCCAACCGAGGTATGTACCAACGACCGAACACAAAAAGCCCTCCACATTCGCCAAGAAATCGAGCTTCCCTATAAATAAAGAAGGCCAATAAGAAAGAACAGCAGAGAAGGGCACGTGAAGACCATTATTCCGATCACCCGGAAGCGGAATTGCGAACAAATGTACGAAACACACTAATAAAACGAACGTGCAGAACATATCATCGCACCCCACAGCCGCGAAGTGAGCACCATCGAATGAATGTTTCTTTCGCCCGCTGGGCCATTCCCGCTACACCCCAGGCATATATGAAGGGCTCTTGTCCATCTAGTCCACGTGCATCTCCCAGAAGAAGAACGTACAGGCGACACACTTGATAGCAAGAACAGCAAACTATGTCTTGAGTCTAGTCTTGAATAATAATAGCTCCCGCGCTAACTAACCGCTCGTACCTTCACAGGTCAAAAACAGATTCACGTCCATCCATGCTGGACAACCTACTGTAGGGCAACGCAACATTCTGTGGAATGTGTATCATTAGACTAATAGGCTGAACGAGAAATTAATACTGTAGTGTAGGCATGAAACAATAGTAAGCAGTCAGCGAGTCTTTCCACATACATGCGGTAGGTTGTTTAGACTTTTCCATTACCCCAGCTGGTTGCGCGTCGAAATATTGATGTTTATAGCATGGGCAAAGTCTAGATTTTATTTTATTTACTTGCCTCTGGCCGCTTGAGTTTTTACCCGTCGAGTGTACAACGGAGAGAATAAAACGGGGATGTCATGTATACCAAATCTATCTGCTATTGTGCCGCAGATCCCACGTTCGACCTCCCCCTCTTCGCTCAGAACATTCCCAGCTCACTCCCTCTCCACGAGGTTTGTGTTACAAACAGGAGATTTTGTAGAATTTTGCCCAACGCAGCGAGCTGCTATTAGAGCTCGACTTGTAGCTCGCTATAAACGTTTTGGGCGTTAAGAGCGGTGGCGTTTATCTCATCGCGATAAATTAGAGCTTCAATCCGGTGTATGTAGCTATATCTTTCACCGCGGGTGTATGCATACCATCCGCGATCTCTCGTCACAACGAACGGTGCGTAGAACAGGGGCAATAACCTCACAAACCCACAACCTCACAAAGTTACGTTGGGAGGGATATCGTGCCGCAGCTTCTTGTAGTGGTCGAGCACGAACTTGAAAGAGTCGGTGCGCTCGTTCCGCAGAAGAGCCTGGCCCACGATGCGTGTCTTGTTCTCGGAGTCCACAGTCACCAGCAGCGCCAAAGCGAATCCAGTACTGAGGCATGTAGCAGAAATAGTCCACAGCGAGGGACGCACAAACGGAGGTAGGTATGGAGGCTATCAACATTAGTGGAAAGGCATGGGAATATTGGCGATGACGCACCCGCGCGGGCGGGCGTATGCGTGAAATGCGTTGGCGCCAATCCTGGGTTCGAAGGGGTACAGCAATCTACAACTTCATATACTACCTACACCTCCGATTTGAACGCGCGAGACGGGGGGGGGGAATACCAACGGCTGTGTGCTCGTTTTTCTGCGTTTTTGTTTTGGTCTCACCGTTTGGACCTGGCTGCCCCCGACCAATGCTTGCCGCCAACCAAGCAAGTCCAGCAGAGTCCACTAGCATTGGCCGGTTTTCTCGAGAGGAGGAGGAGGCGTCGTCATCCCGTGACTGCACGGGTTGACGAGCTTCCTCCGCCTGTTGCTGTTGCTGCTGTTGACTCTCGCACCTCTCCTGCCTCAGCTGCTGCTGCAGCTGCTGCTGCTGCTCCCAGTCACCCCATGGTTCATCGCACCCCTGGGCGTTGTCTAGTGCGAGTAATTCCTCGCCCAAGAGAGAGGGCTCGCCTTCTCGGAGGCAGGGTAGAGCCGTTTGGCCTTCTCGGATGCAGGGTAGGGCGGGAGTGGAGGGGAGTGGGCCGAGCTGTGCCGGACCGCTTGCTCCAACGCCAACACGTTGTGCGCTCTCACACTCAATGCTGTCACCGCTGAGGACCACATGGTCGTTGACGCCTGCACTCATCTCTTGGGCCCGTGTGGTGGCCTCGTGTGTGCCGGACTAGTGTGGGCAAGGTTGTGGCTGTACGGGTGCTGTGTTGTGATGTGGTGTTGAGGCCAAAATTCAAATGGCAGCTCACGGAGCCGCGGGAGCCTCTGGGTATACCTTGTTCTATCTCACGGAGCTCCCTGGGTGCATCTAAGATTTGCGTCTATACATATATTGTTGTTGTTGTTAATGTTGTTGTTGTTTCTCACATTAGCTCTTAAAAAGAAAGATTGGGAGCCCGTGGTCTCAAAACCCGGCATACACGACCCCACGAAGAAA